GTCCATTTGTGTAGCATTGCAAAGTAAAGGAGGTAGTAGATCTCAAGAAGATCACCACTCTGAAGAAAGGCGAGTATGGCAGAAGAGTTCACTGGGCATAAGTGCTTACGTTCTTTGCATTCATGGGTTGTGTAGGTGGGATAACTGCCTGAGTGACAGGTTAATGACGTGTTTGAGTGGGAATATATAGTGAATTTAATTGCTGGAAGAAGCAACCTTCTCTGCATTAAAATCATTACTTCTGACAGAACTGACCAGATAATGAGCATTGTGTGGGGTTGCGTGTTGCCTAAGTTATTTAAAGCATGAGCAAACAGGATCTATCAGCAGCTTCTGCAAAAACATCAGGCAGATTTTACTCTCTTTCCATCTGCTATCTTCCTATGCAAGTCTACACATAAACCCCTGTGTTTATTAGTAAATTACTGTTTGTGGTGATTTCATACATAGTCTGGTTGCAGTCCATTTGGTTGCAGGCATGCAGAATGGTTTTAAGTTGGACAAGGGACTCGATGCAAATGGGGTTGTGATTCTCAAAGGATGAGAGAAACCTTGTGAAATGAATAGAACTGTTTCTCTTGAAATAGAACCCATGCTAGTAAGGCTGACAAACTCTTGCTTACACAGGTTTGAGGTTTCCATTTTATTTCACCAATAAAAATAATGTAGGAGTAAAATAATGTATTGTGAGTTCTCTGTCCCAATGAAATATAGTACCAGCAGCACTTTGCAGTATAATATGACTTTCTGATTTTACATAAATTCTGGCAGGACTTGATGTTGAGGTTTCTTGCAGAATGCAACTTCCTTTTGGTCTTCCATTCCTCCCCGTGCTGACTGTAGTCTAGTGTGATACTGGTGGAGTTCAGATGCTGGCAGTCTTGATTTAGAGCCTGCTAATATTTTGTGCTCCATCATGATGTTCTTGGATGACAAGTTACAGAGGTGGAGCTCCACACATGCAGTGAACACACTTCACAAGTCTGCTCTATGTGCAGGTTGGGATTAGGGTTAGGTTTGGATTAATCTAACTCAAACTAGGTTAGGGTTAGGGTTAATCTAATCTGAGATATACAAAGACATGTCCAAGAGTAATGTGTGTATGTGTAGACATATTACCCAGCACTGAAGAAGTTAAGTGATTGCCTTTCTCATTACAGAGATAATCAGGACCCTTTCAGATGCTCAGTAGCAACCTTCAATTAACTTGTTCAGGGCAAGGGATTTAACATCAGCAATAGGGCCTGCTCTGGCTGTTTGCAACATCCGTCATACATCTTCAGGCTGGGCAGTGTAGAGTTTGCAATAGAAGGAGGAGGTAATGAAAAGTCTCAAAAACATAATGGGCATGTTTGCAGTTATGCAGTGCCTGATCTAAGTAAGAATCATTCAAGACATGAAAAGTTGACTGTTTTGGGTACTTTAGTGTGTTCGTAAAGGTATTATCCACATTAATTAAGGATTATGCACATAGCCTTTTTTCATTTCTGTTTTATTGTTATCCAGCTTGGGCACTTGTTTTGACAGAATATCAGAATATAAATTTAATAAATTAATCATTGCAGCAAAATACAGGTAACCTGCTATGGAGGATTGTTTAAGAAGATATTCATAAGTTCACCCATGTGGATAATGAAACTAAAGCAACAGCTGGCATCTTTAGTATTTGTGTAACAGAAATTCCAGGCAGCCTGGATCACTTTTAATGAAGATGAGTTAGCATTTTAAAGAGTTTAAAACTTAAGCTTTTTCACATAGTTAAGAAACTGAGTTTGAAATCTGATGCAGTTGCCTGTAAGTTCCACTGAATCCATAGTGTCTTACTTCTGAGTAGACAAATGTACAGAATTGCATTACATGTACTGTATGTTAGCTGCTATTTAAAACAGAAGAGATAGGTAAGGTTGCTTACTTTTATCGTATTTTTTTTATTGGGGGGAGGTTATTCTCTTACATAGGAACCCTGCTTACACAACCTTGTAAGCCTTTTAGAAGGCGAAAAGAAAGGCTTTTAGAAAGCTAAAAATCTACCTGCACCAAAAAAAAGTCCCTGACAGAGACACAGAAAGGTATGGGTAGGAGGAACACTCTAGAGATGGGCTGGTTCACTCCAGCAGTTATGTCATTTGGTCACTGGAGAAAGGAGAAAACCAGCCCATCGCCATAGCAGACCAAATGGTGGGATAAATGCATGTCTGATCGCACCCTTAGCTATAAACACTAGACTATGCGCCTTGGTATAAGATTTCCCTCTGGCTTCCTTCTGTGCCCTGTGGGCAGAAAACCTCATCTGGCTGGGTCAGGAATCTAACAAGCAGATTATCAGAAGAACCTTTTTATTTCAGTAGAGAGGTCTTCATTTTAGCTAGTGGAGATTAGCTTGCTCCAACTCTATAAGGTTATATTACAGAAGGGTTATTTTAGCTTCCTGACTGTTTTAAGGATGGTTTGGTGTCTTATGGGAATTAAATCTGTCTCTCTGTCATGTTACTTACCCATCTGCAAACATACTAGCTTTACTGCTCCTGCCTGACTGGAATACAGCCCGAGGAGTGAAATATGCTTCCCAATCTGTTGATTAGAGGCTGAACATGACCATAACACAGATCTTTTTTTAAGCTCCTTTCCTTCAAGGTAAGGTTAATCTGATCTTTCTGGAGAAGGGCAGGGTGGAGTTGCTTTATCTGTGTCTGATATGAACAGAAGTCAGCTCCTTTCATTAATAATGTGGGTAAAGGTAAAGGTAAAGGTTCCCCTTGACAATTTTTGTCCAGTCGAGTCCGACTCTAGGGGACGAGGCTGAACATGACCATAACACAGATCTTTTTTTAAGCTCCTTTCCTTCAAGGTAAGGTTAATCTGATCTTTCTGGAGAAGGGCAGGGTGGAGTTGCTTTATCTGTGTCTGATATGAACAGAAGTCAGCTCCTTTCATTAATAATGTGTGTAGGAGGTTTCAATAATGAACTTCATCAATTATATAATAAGGGCCCTTAGACACGGAACGCTGTTACCACTGAGGTGGTCCTATTTATCTACTTGCATTTGCATGCTTTCGAACCGCTAGGTTGGCGGGAGCTTAAGGGCTTCCATTTTGTATCCAAAACAACTCTGCCTTTCCTCCTTTCTTTTTTTCCCCATCAGTTATTAGAATTTCAGATTGCTCTCCCCAAGCATGGGGACTGTGGTACCAATCATATAAAATATATCCTGCTTCTAAAAGACTTCAGCCGAGTGGAAGAGGGTGAAAATTAACCTCTTTTTAAAGGGTCATCCCCCCCTCCCCCGGTATTTCATGGCTTTAAAAATGTCTACTGCAGTGGTTGCAATTTTTTTAAACAGCTGTTTCCAATTAAAAACATGCCCTTTCGTTTGGATTAATAAGGGAGGAAATTCATATTTATATTCAGCTTAGGTTGTTCTCTCCTTCATGACCTCTGTCCAAATCAATCCTTGGGAGAATCAGTAAAGAGAGAGAAACTTAAACATGTGTGTCCTTGTGAAGAAACTTCTGGATGTCTGTAGAAAACATGGAGAATTTACATTGGACTTTATTGCTTGAAGCCAAGAAGCAAAGGGAGCACTGTTGTTCACTGTACATATCTGAATGCCGCTTAATGCAGTCAGGAGCCTTTTCCTTCTGAATGGTATCACCACCTCAATGTAAACCTAATTGCAAGTAGAACTGGTCTCTTTCCATTCATGTTCTATATATTTTGTTCAGCTCACCGAACTTTGTTGTTATGGTTGTTCTTGCAGCAGTTTTGCTTATGTTGTTTGTTTCTGGCTTCTGTGATGACCTATTTTAGTCCTTCGTGGCAGTGGCAAGGTGTGTCCTGATCACATTGGAGGGTGATGTCTCCAGTGGATCAGGGTGTGATGGTTGAGCATTCCTTCTTTCCGGCTTATAACCACAGGGCTGATTTTTTTAAAAATATATATAATTTTTGTAGATAGCGCTATGTCAGATAAATGATGCAATTCAGAAATGGCCAAGTCTTATCAGTTCAGAACGATGTCACTTTGTAAACTGAACAAAACTAAAGGGAGGCTGGTGTGACCTAGGGTAAGAAGTGTACTGTACCTAATTTGACCCAGTGCTGTGTGGACACTTCCAATGTGCTTTCCTGCTATGATTAAACATTCCATGTAAAGAACAGTGATCTCAACTGGGACAGTGTGTCACAGTGTAGTATAGAAAACTTTCTATCAATCCACACATCCCATCTAGTCACTCCCTCATTCTGCCAGCAGCCTTAAAGGGGTTAAAACGATGAATTGCCTTTAGGACTGTTGCGCTCCTCGACTGGAACTTGCTCTTCCCTGATTGCCATTGTCATTGTTCGTTGTCTGTAGTCAAGCTTTTAAGTAGTCCAAGTGGGCAGAGTGGCATTTCCTACAGGAGGCATGAGTCCACCTTTAGCTGGTGTGTAAACTTTGAGAGGCAATGACAGAATGGACTGGAAAAATGCTCTACTGCCTCTTTTGGCATTAACAGTGCAGTTCTTTTCCTTCAAAATAAGGTCTGTGTTCTCCTGAGGAAAATAAGTTTATTTTAGAAGCAAGCTACCGACTGTTTCTTAGCTGTGACTGGAAAGTGTTTCGGCTGGAATAGAGATGGAACCAGATTTTATTTTCAGCTTGGATTGTCAGGAGTTGGCAGCGTTCTGAACCCCTGGTTAGAAAACTTGCAGAGTTCTTTAGGCAGCATTCTGTGAGCAGTGATTCCCAGTCTTGGTTCCCCACGTTTTCTTGGACTAAAACTCCCAGAAGCCTTCACTATTAGCTTTGCTGGCCAAGATTTGTAGAGCTGTAGTCCAAGGACATCTGGGGACCCAAGGTTGGGAACCACTAGTACAGAGTATGAAAAGTGAGGCAGATGCAAAAAATAAAGGAAGAAGGGGTAGGGAACTCAGAACATGGAGTAAGAACCCTTAAATAGACTCATTTACAAGACAGAGGGTGTGCAAATGTTAACATGTCTCTTCTGTTTTCTTGCAGGTATATGTCGCGGGTTCATGGTATGCATCCCAAAGAAACCACACGTCAGCTCAGTTTAGCAGTGAAAGATGGCCTTGTTGTTGAAACTTTGACAGTGGGATGTAAGGGATCAAAAGCTGGTATTGAGCAAGAAGGATATTGGCTGCCGGGAGATGAGATTGTGAGTATGATTTTCTGCAAGACTTTATGCCGCATTTCTTAATATGTTGATTTACAGTCTGCTGTTTGCAGCCTAATAGCAACTTTTGCACAGGGTTTCAGAACCATTTAGTTTTAAAATCTCTCACTCAGTCTAAATATTATTTTCTTTACTGGTCATGCAGCTATATGAACTGTGTTTTTCAGCACAGAATGTTTAGGTCCAAACTAATTATTGCCTGGATGAGAGCCTTAGAGCCAAAGAAACATGTTTGAAAAGCTCCATAATGAGTGTAACTATTCTGCACTTTTAGCCGTAACTTAATTTTAAGGCATAGAAACAATAAAGCTGGGATCCAGAGAGCTGCTTTAAGTTACAATTTCAGCCCCCACCCCACACTGAACTGCACGCCATGTTAAAAAAAATGTTTTTTGAAGGAATTCTCTAGAATTTCAAAAAGAAAAAAAAGTTTGTCGTGTGGCATGAAGAGTTGCAATTTGGAGAGTCTTGAGGACATTGAATTTATAACATGGCTTGTTGGATCCAAACATCTAGGCTTAAATCTTATAAAACAGAAAAAAATACAATGGGGCTGCAGAAAGAAGAAGAGACATTTTACCCCATTAAAATACCTTGTTTGAAGTATCTCCTATAGGATGTTATTGCAATTGGTTTGACAAAGAATGGCTGTTCTTATGTTCTTTTGCAGAGGGCCCTTGGATGCATGTCCTCAGAGGAGCTACCAGACAAGAGTCCAGGAGGCTCAGTGGGTATAGTGATAGGATTGGGTGGCCAGTTCTGTATGGAAAAATTGACAATGAACAGATCATAGGGTTTCTTGCCTGGGTGACTGATATCCATACTCTTTACATGTCCCCAGGTTGGTTCAAAAAGAGCCACAAAGGGTGGCCTTAAGATTTCCCAATCATATTGGCAGCATTTGGTCGTATAAGACTTATGCTTTTTGTTTGATTTAATTGTGAGTTGTTGCATTCAACTTATCGTGAAACTACTATGAATCAGTTCTAATAACAAAGACTGACTACCTGAAGCTTTTACAAAAAAGTTCATTTCAAATTGAGTTAATTCTCCATATTTGTGCAGTCTTAATTAGAATACCAGATCGCTGGATCATCAGCAAGATAAAATTCTTCTTTATTGTCTCTGTGATTCACATGTTTTCCTGTGCCAGTACAGAACAAGTTTGGAACTTTCTAGCTAATCAACAGTTTTTTCATGTGCCCCACCCTCCATAATCAATGTGTTCTTAGCACATCTTCCCCTGTTTTCTCAGTTTTATTTTGTCCACTGGAAACCTTTGTTATTACTAATATGGTGCTACCACGGATATAAAGGGAGATGCGTTAAAGGCATTTGATTGTATGAGATGGGTACTGTGCCAAAAAAAGTATTTTAGTTTTGTAGAGAGTTCTGAATTTGCTCTGCAGATGTTCTTACATTTGTGAGATCACAGATGGTTGCATGAAGAACCACAGTTACAGGTAAGCAACCTATTCTTACACTGATAAAGGGTGCATTTGAGAAGTTAGGTTTTTTAGATGCAACTCTGCATTCAGAAATAGATCTGCCTGCAGTCTTGAACAAAGCTATTTTAAAGGAAGTTCCATATAGGAAAGCTGGATATCTGCAGACTTCTGCAATCATAATTACCGGAGGGTATAATCCTTTGTATGCTTACCATTGGATAAGTATGCAGAAAATCAAAATTTTTAACTTTTAAGAATTGTATTCACACCAATGTGGCTGGCTCTGTGCCTTAAAAATATACCATAACCTAGACAGAGTAAGACACTGTGTGTTCAAAAAAGATAAAAGAAAAGGTAATTCAGAGGTAAACAGCAATTCAGAATAGATCTGTATATTTCCAGATCATTTTGGTTTATTTCAGTTTTGGTGTCATATAAACTGAGTTAAGAAAGGATGTAAGTTTTCTTTTCAAGTGTTGCTTTTATAATATAGAAGCCAGAGAAGAGTAAACAGGAATGTTATTCACACAATGTGAAATAACTGAAGCACTTTCTAGTGCTGAAGTTCTTAGACCTAGTAGTAATGTGTATGATATTCATTGTCATACATAAAGCCCATAAGTATCAGTTGTGTGACTAAATTGGATTTTTATGCCAAGGTAGCCAAAATTCTTCATTCATTCAGGTTGGTATATAAAGCAAGAAAATGTCCATATATTTTCTTAAATGTTATAAATGGTATGCTGGAGCTTTTATATGGCATTAAAAACCTCCCTCGTCACCCTTTGAAATCCTACCACCATCTTCTGCCTTTAGAAATTTCATTATACTTTGCCTTTATTCCCAGCCATAAGGGCTAGAAACACGGCTTTTAAAAAAGTGAATTGACATAAATTGACTGAATTTTTCATCCAGTATCATCTGTGACTCTTCTGTGCTTGCACAGAACTGGAAAATGTATACACATTTCTTCATAATTCAGTACAGTACTGTATATATCAGTGTAAGGATAGTGAGATGCTTTCTGTTCCCCTATGTCCATAGACTACATTTGAACTTACGATGTGTCTATTACTACTGCATTGTGCTTTTCTCACCTCATGCAGATGTAATGAGGAAACTGCTGGCATTAAAGGTCTTGTAGATGGACAGGCTATGTATATCTTCTGCAATTAATGAAGCTGATTTGTTGGTTTTAATTTAACAAAACTTTTAAACTTTGTTTAACAAAAAAAAAGTTGCCTTACACATTCTCTGTTTTAATTTTTCAGTTTCTGTCAGCCCGTTTCAAAAAAAGAGGGAGAGAATTGCATTCTTAAAGAAAAAGATTAATGCAGACTCTTGACTCTACAATTTATAGAGCATCATATAGTTTGGAATTTATATTTCCCAAGCTTCATATTTATTGTGTTGAGACATTACCAGTTCATTCTTTTTGTTATTTCAGCAGAAATACCTTTGGCTCGTTAAGATTAAGGATATTGTTTGTGTGCATATGGACTGTATTTACTAAAATATAATGGTTTACTTGGTCTTAAACATACTGACCACTAACCAGCTGTGCATGAGTACCTGTTTTAAAGCTGGTTCACCACACAGTACTTGTGGGTTTTCTTAGAACAGTCAGAATCCAACTACAGTGGTGCCTCCCTTGATGAGGATAATCTGTTCCAGCGAAATTGCTGTAGAGTGAAATCCTCATCAAGTGAAATAAAAAAGCCCATTGAAATGCATTGAAAACCACTCAATGCGTTCCAGTGGGCTAAATACCTCAGGATCCAGCGAAGATCCTCCATAGAGCAGCCATTTTCCAATGTCTGTGCAGCAAAAAATCTGTCCTAAAGCACAGCGGGGAGCCATTTTACTCAGTGGGTGGCCATTTTGAAACCTGACGATCAGCTGTTTTGATCGTCGTAATGCGAAGAATCGTTTCCCAAAGCAGGGAACCGATCATCGGGAAGTGAATTTTGCCCATTAAAACATTGTTTTGCGATCACAAAAACCTCATTGTCAAGCGGATTGGTCATTTAACGAGGTCATCGTTAAGCGAGGCACCACTGTACATACTTATACCAGCACAACTGCACCAGCCTAGTTTTCAGCAGCAAATATAATGAAGTTAAGAAATAAATAACATATAAAATAAATATTTTAAAATGGAACATGACCCTAACTTCCAGTTATTCTGCACAACAGGATCGGGCGTGGTGGGGGCTCTGAATTTCATGCAGTTCCTGTGGCTGTTTTTACAGACCCTCCAAAGCTCCCTGCTGTCAACACATCACAAATATTTAGCACCACCACAACAAAAATAGACAGGTGCAAGAGGTAAAACCATATTAAAATTGTGATTTTCTTCCTTAAAACAAAGCAGATAAGGAGGGTGTGCCCTGCTGAGAAGCTATTGCTGCCATAAACCTCCGAGAAATACTTGATGTCTTCATAATAAGTATGGATATGCCATGCACCTTCTTTTAGATTGGAAATTAGCCATCCCTGTATTAAAGGCTCGTACTTCTTGTGATCGTTATGCCGTGTATGCAGCCTCTCAGCTCTTTCTTTTGCTGTTTGTCTGAGACTGCACAAATGTGTTTGTCAGACACCTGCCAAGCTTGAGGGCAAGTTGTGTTCACAACATCTGTAAGCCTATTCTGTCATGTTTGTAATACTACGCCAGAATCCTGTTAGTTACGCCTCTTGGCAGAACTGTGTTTGCATAACTTTCTGTTGTAAGTTGCTGCACATTAAGAAGTTGACATGGTTATTTCTTACTGAACAATTCAGTAAGAAATGCCTACGTTGCTTTCTTAAGTTGCAGCACGCTGCTGCTGAAACCTAGGCTGATGTAGTTGTGCTGGTGTAAGTATGTACTGTAGTAGGATTTTGATCTTTGAAAGAAAACCCACAAGTACTGTATGGTATACCAGTTTTAAAGCAGGTCAGTGTCACAGTCGTAGTCTTAGAGCTGCTAGGACAGCACCTGCATAATCAATTTGCAGTGTATAATTTTGTATTAATATCTCCCCGCTTATCTTTCGATGAGATCTGTCCCTACCCTGTCAACACAGTTACTGGTACCTAACTATCCAGTGGTGGTTCCCTTTGTCTACTAGTACACTGACCCCACAAACATTATTTCTGCATCTCAATAAAACAACCACCACCCTTCTTTTATGGATTTGCAGCAGATTTTTCCAATTTTTAAAAGATTAATCCCTTCTTAGATATTATTATCCCCCTTTTAATTAATTATCCCCCTTTTAATAAACAGCCAGCTAAAAACATTTGCAAAATGCAGGGATGAGTAGGTACTTGAGAGTGTATATTCAAGTGTTCACTGCTTTTCAAAAGGGTTGAGACTATTATAGGATCATGTGATACAAGTGTATGTTTTGTCTAGGATCAATCAGTTGTGCATGTTAATCCCCCGTTATGCTCAGAAGTATCAGATATAGGATCATTCTGGTTCTTTTCTGTTTCATGTGTGTATCTTCCTAATGAATTTAACTGCTTGGAAAGGTTTCAGGAGCACAAAAGAAGTTGGAATGAATCTAGCTAAAGCACTCCATAGAACTTGTTTAAGAAAAATATGTGCAGTCAGAATGATGCCTGTAACCATATGCTTTCCCCCATCTCCATGTTTTAATTCATGTACCTTAGATGGGTTCCAGTACAGAGACCATGTGTTGTTGTTTTTTTGTTTTTGTTTTATTTTGAAAGGCCTACAGTATGCAGCCTTTCTCCAGGACAACAGCAAAAATCAAGGTGAACAAATTTTGCACTATGTAGTCTTGAAATTTCTGTTATATTCTTTATTTCTCCTGTGCTGTAGGATAGATTAGATAATTAATTTCTTCAGTTTTCAAGTTGCTTTGTTAAAAACGCTAATCATTCATGTTCTATGCAGTCCTGAAATCAGCCTGCACAATACGGCTCTGTGGCTAACATTTTTTTTCCTCCCTTCCTCTTCCTGGAGAGCTAGAAGTGGTTACTCACATGTTTTGCCACAAGATGTAAAGTTGAGATGGTTTCCTTTTTATCAGTTATTTTGGGAGTGGATGATGACATCTGGTGGCGAACTTTGCAAGTGCAGAAGAAGATGTGCTTTTATTTTCTACATCTTGGCAACTTTTTATTTATTTGCCATTATCCCAAAACTGACAGCCAGATGTTAAAGTTCTATAAATACCTCCTGTCTTATACAAGAATATTATGTGGCAGATTTCCATGTTATGTCTCTTCTCCTACAAATTTTTCTACCTTAGGCTCAGATTGTAAACTGGCCTAATAATACTTTGCTGTATTGATTCTTTTTAAGTGGAATTTTATATTAGAAACACAGAGCCTGCTTCTCTGCTATACATTTTCCTTCTGCATGTTAATCTAGATCTTTAAAATGTTACCCTTTGGCTATGATATGTATAATGCATTGGGAGTTGTGGTCCAAAAAAATTAATTCTCCAATCAATCCTTCCTTCCCCCATCCCATACACAGAGGCATTCACACAGATTCTATACTATATCTACTTTTTCAGCATGATCAGGATCTTCCAGTAATTTTTTTAGCTGTTGTGAATGTGTCCCTCATTCATATCTTTCTTATTTAAACATCTCCAGAAGAAAGATTTCAGACTTGGTAATCAAAATATTTTTATGTGCCTTTTCTCACTGCATGTGTTATCATTGACATAACAGTGCTTTTGTGAATAGCAGACTTGTGATATCTCTCAGGAAATAATTGTTTTCAGAAGTCCCCGTTGAGACTTACATTATTTTTATGTGCCTTTTCTCACTGCATGTGTTGTCATTGACATAACAGTGCTTTTGTGAACAGCAGACTTGTGAAATAATTGTTTTCAGAAGCCCCCGTTGAGACTTACATTAAAATACTCTTCTGACATTTGATGGTGGGTACCTCCAGCCTGAAACGCAAGCTGGTAAACTTAATTTGTACAGATGAGGGATGGTTTCAAACACAGTTCAACTCTAGTGTGTCAGCCAGCTGAGCAGAAGGCTTTATATTCAGTGCCAGCACATACCAGAGTTAGCAGGGTCAAAATAGATTGACTGCTTATCTCACATCCAGAAATGAGTAAGAGTGGCTTGTGGACCAAGGGGGGAGCACCTCACACCAAAACCTACTGGGACAGACTTCTAATTCCAGTCATAAACTGCCTTAGAATGGGGAGCTCCTAATTGTTAAAAGGCATCTGTATGTCTTAGCAAAAACTTCTGCATTCTGCGAATAGTTTGCTTTGTTTCTCAGTTGGCCAGTGGGAAGTTAGCACAGGCTTAATTTGCAATTCTCATTGCTCAGGCACTTGCCTCTGAGAAAATGCTGTTGATAGAGGACAAATGTACCGTCACCTTCTAATTGCAAGGTGAGCATCTTGTCTAGTCAAACCCTTAGATACACTTGGCTAGCATGCAGTGTGAAAGATCTCTTATGAGATATAAAGTTGCCTGTAATCTAGTCAGTTACTTGTATTATATGAGATTTGAATCATATTAGTTATTTTAAAAATAGCATTTTACCTCTTTGGTAGATTGATAGATTCATTCATTATGTTGATTGGTTAGTTATTAGCATCAGTTTGAAGACAGACGTAGTTTACCCAGTCTTAATTCTTCATGGGCCCCAGTAAAATTAATGGGAATTGAACAAGGCCTGGTGGCGTTCTTGTGCCTTTCCCTTTCATTTCTACAAGACTTATACAAGAAGACTGCCCAGTGAATGTTTCATTTTCTTGTTTAACTCAGTCTTTTCTACTGGCAAACGCTAAGCAAAGTTATAAAAAAATGAGGGAAAGGTGCAATGTGAGAAGTTAATTAAATGCAACATTACAATAATACAGTATATTATAAATAATAGCTCAAATGTAACTTTGAGAGGCAAATGACTGTAAGTTAAGAAATCTCCATAGACGTTATCTGTTGCATGCAACTTAGTACTGTATACGACAGATAATATCTATGGAGATTTTAAAAAACTTTCGGCTATTTGCTTCCAATATCCTGTGCAAAAGGATTTCGAAAGTACAAATGGGAGACTGAGTCTTAAGATGTATAAAAATATTGACAGTGCAGATTTTATTCTTATCTAGAAAGCTCAAGCTTGATGCATTTCAGCTATAGCCTTCTTCTGAGCCAGCTTTTAGAACTCTAGTATCTCATTGGGTCTATACCAGCTCCAACGCTGATCCAGATGACAGCTGTTGGATGTGCCAGTTCCCTCTGCTTTGTTCCAAAAGGGTTTCACCCAATATATCAAATTAAAAATAGTATGTGCTTAAAATAATACGTGCCTTGAAAACTCTGTATACAGTATATAGGTCTCTTATATCATTGTAATTCTAGTAGGAAAACTGAAAGAAGGAAACTAAGTAAAGGATAACGCTTTTATTTAATAGTGCAAGTGTTGACCATAACATCTTTTTGTTTTATTATTATACATAGAGTGAGTATGGATAGAGTTTAAAATATATTAACGTTTTTGAATGCAAATAAAACAAAATGCTAAGCTATAGTCTGCTCTTAGTGTTAGCTCCCATGCAGAGGCATTATTTGTGTGAATGGCAATTTCGTGTGAAAGTTCTTTCTATGGCCCCAGCCGTTTACAGTCAGCCTATCACTTTTTTGTGCAGATCCCATTAACCCTATATATGGAAGTGATAATTGTTCACATACCTTTTACTAGACTATCACATAAATGAGGGCTCCACATATCCCAAAGGTACTTGCAAGGGTTTGGCTGCCGTATAACAACAAAGCAAGTCTTCTGTTTAAATTAAAAATAGGAACATTTTTCCAGTCTCCAAACAAAACTGTGGGGTTTTGTTAGGCTCTCACTTTCTGCTGTGATCTTGTTATGGAAGTGATGTGGCACTCAGCATCATCCAAGAACACAGCACAACTGTTGTGGACTGTGATGAACTATGGCCTCTACACTTAAGGCAGTTATACAACTGATACTGCATTAATCTAGCAATAAAGTACAGTTCTTCTTCGTGGCCTCTGAATGCACACGATTGGGTTGTTCTGCGCCTGCGCTGAACCTCTCGGGATGTTTCTAGAGCTTTAAGACATGTAATTAGTGGGACATTCCCCCCATGGAACGCATGCTTCTGCCCACGACTGATCCCCTCAGTTCCTTATTTCCGCCGTGTTGGCTAGACCTGTTTCAGAGAACTAGAGCGATTTATTGAATTAATGCTTTTTATCGAATCATTGTTTATTTTCTTCAGATTCCTTTTCAATCATCTTTCTTTATTGGACGTTTCTCGTGTGAGTTTATTCCAGGGTTTTTTCTCTGTCTGCATTTGTCGATCCCGTCCCCCCCACAACCGTTTCCGCCCTGCTGTTTTATGCCCCCTCCAGGCCTTTCAAACGGTGCGTTCTGTGCGCAAATAAAATTCCACTCACCGATGGCCACGACCATTGCCTTTTCTGTCTTGGAGAACAAAATCCAACACACTCCTGCTCCAAGTAGAGAAGGCTAACTAAACCTCTATAAACTGCATTTAGAAAGACTGAGATCTTACCTCTGGGAGAAATCTCTGAACCCACCTCTAGTTGCTATGGAGTCTGCACAATCTCCGACCCTCAACCCTATCAGCAAAATCCCCCCATGCCCGTTTCTAGCCCAGCAACTCCTTCTTTTTTCTCATCCAACTGTGAAAAAATTTCTCAAGGGACTCAACAATATTTGCGCCCCACGTCAACATCCTATCTCTCATTGGTCTTTACAACTTGTCCTCAGTGCACTTGCTTGACCACCCTTTGAACCCAGAGATACCTGTGCTCTTAAACTACTTTCCTTCAAAACATCTTTCCTTGTGGCAGTAATATCTGCTAAGTAGGCTAGCGAATGTGCAGCCCTCCGATCCAATCCACCCTTCCTACAGTTCCATCCGGGTAAGGTAACTCTTTATTTTGATGTGTCCTCCTTACCTACCGTTGTATCTGAATTTCACCTCAATCAACCACTGATTCTACCTACCCTATTTCCATCTCCGTCAACACCTCTCAAGCGCATGCTTCATACACTTGACATAAGACGCTTCCTCGCCTTTTACATTGACAGGACCAAATCATTCAGAAAATCACAGAGACTCTTTCTATGTGTTCACAGTCCTCATAAAGGGGCTCCAGCTTCGCCGCAATCTATTTCTAGATGGATTGTCCAAACTATCTCATTGGTGTATGAGCTAACTGGCAAAACAACTCCTGAACATTTTATGGCCCATTCTACCAGAGCGCTGTCAACATCTACTGCCTTCCAACATGGGATTGAACTCTCTCACATCTGCCGTGCAGCGACATGGTCTATTCCATCAACCTTTGTCAGGCAGTACCGTCTCAATGTCAGGGAACAGAATGATGCTGTTTGGAAGAGCTGTTTTGTCATCCTTTCTACCATGATGTCCCACCATCCAGTAAATCAGCGATCACCCAATTGTGTGCATTCACAGAGGCCACGAAGAAGGAGAGGTTACCTACCTGTAACCATAATTCTTCCAGTGGTTCTCTGTGAATCCACACATCCCGCCTGTCCTGCCCTCTGTCCGTCACGTTGTACTTTTATATAGTTATTTGACAGCGGCGGACTTTTTTCAGGAACTTAGGGGATCAGTGGTGGGGGGAGCATGAGCTCCATGGGGGAATGTCCCACTAGTCATGTGTCTTTAAGCTCTAGAAACTTTCGCGAGGTTCAGCGCAGGTGTAGAACAATAGCCGCATTGTGAACAATCCAATTGTGTGGATTCACAGAGGACCACTAGAAGAACCATGGTTACAGGTTGGTAACCTCTCTATTTCCCATCTGAAACCAATATATAATATGTGGGGAAGGTGCTGAGGGTTTCAACATTTAATTTGGACCAGATTTCATTAAAGACGTAGCTGGGTCATCTGTCTGGGTCAGAGGCTAATGGGAAATTCTTAATATTCACTTAAAGGAATCACAAGCAACTTATCTATCATTTAATATAGTGTATAAAATTTTTATTTTATGTGTAGAGGAATGAGCAATTTCATGATGATTTCCTTCAGAGAGCAAAAAGTTTTATGGGAATGAAAATGCTCTCAATTTGTAATATAAAGAAGCCTGTCACTGATTCTGAAGTTATTTTTCTTGTAATGTTAGGAACCAGAATGAGTTCAAAACATCATTATTATTCGAGGTAGTATATTACCTGAGAAGTGCACCTCTGAATTTTTTTCCAGTGTAGTTGGGAATGTAGGGGCAACAGGAGTGGGAAACAGCACCTGATGCAGGAGGAAAAATAAGCCTGCTGTCACATTTTTTAATGGTACTGAAGGTAGCAGATGCGTTTCAGATATAAGCTCTCTTTTGTTTATATACTGTACTAAGGTAGCAAGAAAAAACTTGAGCAAATTTTTTTAAAACCTTCATGAAAATATCAAGTTTATGAAAATGGGGTGCTTTTCTCCAAGACACATCAGTGACTTTCAGTATCCTTAATGTGGGGAGGAGGGTTTTCCCTGACAACACTGGACTTTGGTGTTTCTTTCCTAGGGTTTATTCGGTCATTGGACTACTTCATTATCACTCCTAATAATTTTGTCTTCTCAAGAAACTGTTCATATTGCTTCATTAACTGAATTGGCTTTGACAGGGCCATAGAAAGTGCCATTATAGAACATTTATTGTTTTGTTTTGGGTAGCATGAAGACATAGCTTTGCTTGGAATTGACACAATCAAGCTTAAACAGTTTATTTCGGTGGGACATCAAAAACACAGCAAGGAATTCAACTTGATCTCAGATTTTATAAGTTTTTAAAACTTGTAAAATAATGTTCCCATTGGTATTTAAAGTTGAAGACTGTTGGAAGGCATATCACCCATTGATTACTTCATTCTGTCTCATTGCAATCAATTGGATTTAAAGTATCCTTTCTTTTGTGCCCATTCTAAGCAAAATTGGAGAATAAAAGTCAGATGTACTCAAAAAGTTTGGGGCTTCATTTACATAGTTGTAGACATTGGGAGGCTTGCAGACCTAACCAAGAATAGAATTAGGTAAAAAGTTCCAGTCATAACACAAACAGCAACCATCAGACCACATAACTCTTCCGTATTCTAAATTTTGAAAGATAGCAAAGTGTTTGCATTTTGTTCTGCTCTGTTTGTAAGTTCCTATATGTTTGTCATCCTTGCCTTATTTATGAATCTTTGTTCTGCATCCATTAATCTTCAGAAAGCTTTGCTTTGACCCAGTGGGGTAGCCCTCACAGTCTTTCTGTTTTTTTCCTGAATGCCTGTAACATAGTTTGATAATTTTTGTGTGAAGAAACAAGAAATAAAATTGAACCCAAGCAGAGCAAAAGCAAACTGCAAAATAATAGGTGACTCTCAAAGTATGGGGTAGGTGAGGAAGCCCTGATAATGCAAACCTTCAGGTAAAGATTCCCAAGATTGACAGTTACAGATAGTCTGAATTGGGAAATATTTGTGTGTTGTTGTTTTTTAATTCCAGCTCCTAGAATTCTGCAGCCAGCAAGGATGCCAGCCTAAAAATATATTTAAAAAAAAACTGGGAAACACTTTGAAACAGCCTGTCAGGGAAAAAAATGGGCAACTGCTGCAGGATTTTTGCTTCTGTATGAGACCAAAGGGCCTTTTCCCCCCTCATCACCAGTAACTTCTACACCCCCCCCCCATTTTTCATAAAGTACAAGGCTGTTGTGCTTTTTTTTTAAAATATAGAAAATGTTTTCAGGAAAGACATCTGCAGTTTTTTCACTACAACGTGCCAACATATGACAAAACTCTAGGTGTTGGGGTTGAGATTTTTGTTTTTCTCATTCTCACTTGCGAGGAAAAAATACTTTATACCCCTCTACTGGTATCTGAATTGGAGACAACTTGATGATACATAACAACAACAATAAATATTGACACTTCTGGCTGAGTATTTTAGGAGCTGTAGTCCAAATCACAGAAATTTGTTATTTATTTATATAGTTAACATTCTGGCCCGACACCAAGCTTTTAAAGATTCATTCTTATTTAAATGGAAGTTCTGGGTGAAATTCCTCCACCTCTATACAGCACAGCCTCATAGGAGACACCTGTTCATCACTTTTCCTGAACCCATGGGAAGTGGGGGGAAGGACTAAGAATAGGAAAATGCCCAGTTATTGTTCCCAAACCAGCTTAGTCTTTTAGCAGCTCCACTATTTTATGCCACTGTTTCTTATGCCTGGTCAGGAAAGGCTAGTTGTAAAATAAATTGATGCTTTCAACAACAACAACAACGAACGTACCAGCTGCTCATGATGGATTGTTGTGGAGTAGCAGTGGCATCTCCTCCTTTTCTTTCGAAGGATGAATGCAGAGAGAATGGAAGCTACTCCCTAAAGCAGTTTCTGAATATTTCTTGCAAGTAGTGCCTTACATCCTAGAGGCAGTGAAAGAGCTGGAGGAAGATTTCATTCCACGCTTTCACCAGAAAATGTTAGCCAGGACTATTAATAGAAGAGTAGCTGGTGAGGCATTATAGTTTGGTGGCCTAGTACAAGGAGGGCCTTCAGTCTCATAGCCTTCAGTCAAGAGAAGAAAAATCAGGGTTTGTTTTTTTTACAGCAGAGTTAATAAAAAGTTGTAAAATGCAAGACAAGTATGAGTTCTTCTATTATTGGGGTACTTTTTCTGTATAGGTGGACGCATGAATTACGTGTTGTGTTTATTTTCTAAATAGCCACTTTCATAAGAAGGTTTAAAGTCTAGCATTATTTAGAAATTAAAAGTGTAGCATATTCAGTTATACAACTTTTGATGTTTATAGGGTTTGGGATTTATTTTTTCTCCAACAAAACCAAACCAAACCAGCAACTGAAGAATCTGAAAAGGAGGTACAGTACTTTAAAAATATTGATCATGCCTATCTGTTGTTAGACTGCAAGAAATGTACTTTGTTCATGGCTGTTACAGATATTGACAGAATGTTCTATCAAATTATTTTGTATTTTTTGTAGGACTGGGAAACAGAAACTCATGACTGGTATTGTTTTGAATGCCATTTGCCTGGAGAGGTGTTGATATGTGACCTGTGTTTTCGTGTATATCATTCCAAGTGTTTATCTGATGAGTTCAGGCTTAGAGACAGCAGTAGTCACTGGCAATGCCCAATTTGCAGGGTGAGTACCTCTGAGCTTTCATGTGCTGAATAGAGGCTTGGTATTTGTTATTTATAGTTCCTAGAAGATGTTTCTGGCCAGGAGAATTATCCAGCTTTGCTTACTGCAGTAACAATGCATATGTTAAGTGCAAAGCCATACAGACGTGTGCTCAACATCTGGATGTGCCTGGGCAAAATATGCAAAAGCCTGCTATCAGTGAGCATCCCTTGAGGCTGTAATTGGAAGATATGTTTGCTGGATTGGTTTGGAACTGGTAACCATAATAACCTATGATTCCAGAATTACTTAAATTAATTCCCAAATTGTTCCCAAAGGATATCTCTCTCAACCAGGCAATTTGTCCCATGTCTAGGAGCTATATTATGCGGGACTCCCCCATTCATTTCAGTGCTAGATTACCACGGCCCATAACTTCCAGTCAGTTCAAGGTACATCACCTTTTTTAGACACAAGTCAAACTCTTCAGGGATTTATCATGCACACTATCATAGCATACAATGAAGTTTAAATCAGACTCATTTTCCTTTAAATTAGACTCATTTGCCCAGACGTTTGCTCCTTTCTACATTTGCCCAACCATATCCAGATACACATCAGTTTTCGAGATTCCTCTATAAATGTAGATGGCCAGCTTGACTATAAAAGGAATTCGAAACAGTATGTGCATATTTCTGTATGTATTCCAGAAGGTTTGCATTATGCCATACCCAAAATACATACATATTTTTCCCCTCTGGATTTTATTGATGTTTATTTACAAGTGCTACATAATACTGTGGGATGAAATCCACCAAGAACAGTTAAACTTTGTACCTTAAACCAGTATGTTATGCTTTCCTAAACATTTCCATAAAATAAGGTGCTATTCAGCCAAAAACTTGCTTTTTGTACTTAAATTTTTTTGAAAGTCATTCTTCAAATATAAACACCTGATTCCGTTAGCTTCTGAGACTACCCACCTCCCTAGTAAGTCATAACTGAGGCAGAGAAGAGAGGCAGGAAATGAGAATTTCCTGTTTGTAAGAACCAGTGGATTAAACAGGTAGGTTTTCCCTCTGCTTTTCCTTTTTAACTTCCCCACATAAATACGCATAGTATTCTATGCTGGTGGATGTGTTGAAAAGCTTGGAAATGTGTGGATGAATAGTCACTACAGTTTACATTGTATGAAGCCATCATCTTGCTGGAAAGTTACAGAAAACTGTTAATAAAAATAACCAAAGTTCAGTATATTTTTTCAGATTAAGTTCTATGATAATCTAGCCAATGTTATGAGGAAGGGGAAAGGCAAGCCTCGGGCTCCTTTCAGCTAGAAGGAAGTAGGTGTTTGTGGCTCAGTTCTCCCCCTAAGTTGTGGTGCCCTTACCAGTCATGAAGATGCTTCCCCCTGAAGGGAAGAAACCACATACCCATCAGAAACATGTGGCTTTTTTGCCCCCCAGCCTTCCATTTTTTTCACACCTACAGACCCCCACACTTGTTTATTTTGCTCAGTTTGGTCCAAGGAAATAATAGGCCACAGAGCTCTTGGCCCTTTTGGTTGCCATTATCAACATTGGTTGTATCAGAAAAGGCATTTTGCAACCTGCTTGTTATTTTTAGTTGTACTGCTGTACCTGCCAGCATTGAACCACTCTGAAGAGTGGGAAATTGAACACCAGCTTTGGGAAACCAAACATAAAATCCTCTATGTATTTGTGAATTATATTGGCTCATTAGGTCACAGCTGTTTTTCCAATTTATCTGCAGGCAATTTCAGCATTATTTTAGGAATAGTACATGTCCTCCTCCAGATTTCATTCTCATCAGGGCTCAGATGAAGAAAAAGTGAATTGTGATTGCAGAACATTTAGTGAAGCAGGCAGTCACTGAAATCACTTAACCTTAAATCACACCCCACCTTAAACTGGCCAGCTGCATCTCCTAATGTTGGTGTCCCGATATGTACACCAGCAGTGAAGCAACAAGTATATTATATAAAGTGGCAAATACCAGTCGCTACTCAGCAGAGGAACAGCTGGTACAGATTTGAACACCATCACTGGTTTATTAGCAATGACACCTGCAGATGTGGGATTTACATTGCTGACAAGTGGCTATTTGGAACTCTCATGTTTGTTAGGTTTGCTTCGTTTTAGGGTTAAAAGCATATTCTCTTCCACGTTTCATTGTGATCAGACCACAAAACTCCCTTGTTTTGAAAATCCAACACTCCAGAACTGCTTCACACTGTTCTTACTTTCTCTGATAGGAAGCAGAGAGACAGGGGTTGTCCGGGGAATTCCAGCAGCTGCATGACCAAATGAGCATTCAGTATCATCTTGAACAAACTTTTGCACTCCCAGGTTGCTGTGAACAATTGATCTGGAGGTTAATAAAGTAGGAGCCGTTCTTTAGCAAGAAGAAGCTGAAGGATCATGGAATATTTAAAGTGTGAAATCCAGTTGCCTAGCATAGTGAGTCACAACTAAACTAGGCCTGTAGAACCAATTGGGATTTTGGTGAATCAAGTCCTCTATAAATTCTGTTCATTCAAACGTGCCTATCCTAGTTGTGACTTACTACTCTAAGCAGCATGATTTCAGCCAATAAATAATTTGAATCTGCTTTGCTTCTTCTGATACATGCATTCCCTTAAGAAAGTATTGAATAAAACACATAAAAAGGAGACCTTAGCTGCTTGCATTTTCAAGATTTAACAGGATATGAATTTTAGTGTGAGTTTTATTCTTCAGCTCCTTTGTTCATTGAAATTTGGCAGATGTTTTCAGGACAATGCTAGGTCACAGAACATGAGATTCCCAGGCATTCTGTCATGCAAGGAATGTCCGGATCCAGGTTTGTCTATCTCTACATCAGACACCTGCCATTCTTTGGAGTCCGTGTTCAAAATTATATGGGAGCGTTGGTACAGTTTTGAAAAAAAAACCTAGAAAAGCATGAAATTAAATTTTTTTTCTGCTAATGTGGACATAGATCTGACAGTAGTGGGTTTTTTAAGTACTCCAGAGATGAGAGACAATTGAGAATTGTAACAAAAAAGTGACTTTAAATCAGCTGTTCATAGATGTTGCTGTTGCCAAGCCATTAGAATTTGAGGCAAGGCTGTTCGTCCATCTCTATCTCTGTGATGTGTGCACGTGCACTGTGCGTTTTCACTCTCAGAACTTTACTTGTGAGCATTGCAGACCACTTTGTCTCATGGATTCTTCTCAGGAGCTCCAGATGGTTAGACTTGATCTGTGTGTCGGTAGCAGCAGTATAGAAGCCACTGCTATAGGGTTGGTACCAGGGATTTGAATGGTGTACTGTGATATTTCAAATAAGTAGAACACATGGGTTAAATAATATTGCAGTGGGAAGTACCCACATCAAACCTGTCCATGTGATTTGTTTCCTAAGGAGGACCTTATACCAGGTCAGACATCAAGCCAAATATTGTCCAATCTGATTTTGTGGCATCTGTTCTCAGTTTTCCAGCAAGCTCTTTCCCATCACTCGTTTCATGATCATGAGAAGAGGGGAAATAAAATGGAGACCAGATAGTAACATACAGACTACCTGTGCAGATCTCTCTGCCTGATGGCTCCCTTCTGGGATATGGGTGAAATAACCAATATCAGCCACTTTATTTCTTGTATCCATTTAGATTTACATATTTTCTTAAAATTGCAGTGTTTTAATCTGGAGTAAGGGCTGGATTCTCACTAGATGCAATATGCTGATATTTTTCTCCATTTTAACAAAGAATCAACTGTCCTTTTATTGTTACAACTACTTAATGGCATTCTTCTAGCTTTTTTTTTTAACAAGTGAAACAAACTTGTAAAGTAAGCACCTGGCACTTTTGAGAGTCCTGGGTGCTAGCCAAAACAAGAAAGAAACTTAATGATCCCATGTCTAGTTTCAGCTAGAAATGAACATACACACAATGTTGTATGTGAATGAGTACCCTGAAAGTTATGAACAACTTGGATCACCTTGGAACAGGAGATTTCTGAGATCATTTTAATGAGCAATTTATTTGAAACCTTATGGCCTGTAAGAAAGATCACACATATGCAAGGTTTGCCTCTGAAATGTTCCCAGAGTCATCAAAGCATTGGTAGTTTGGCTTAAGAATACATCCACTGTGCAGACTGCATCAGAAATGTGCTTGAACAGCATTGCAACAGATTTTTCATACTTCCCAATACTGTATTCCCTGGTGGAATCTGTGAAGCAATTTCAGGGATGTATTCTTGAAGGCTTTCATGCCCGGGATCTAATGGTTGTCGTAGGTTTTTCAGGCTGTCCGGCCGTGTTCTTGAGGTTTTTCTTCCTAACATTTCGCCAGTCTCTGTGGCTGGCATCTTCAGAGGATAGGAGTCAGAACTCTGTCTGTGCTCTACTACAGTTTTGTCGGATAGTTGAGTATTTATAGCTGTGGGATCAGCTTTTTGTCCTTTTCTGGAGATTGGGTGATTATGGTGATCAGCGTGTTTTTTTA